CACCCACCCACCCTACTTTTCTAGACCCATTGTCTTCATCCACAACGGGCTTTGCTCCCTAGTTTATTAATAAATGTAGTTTAACCCGCCCTTCCTGTCTCAAGATTTCATATCTATCTATAATTTTCTTGTGTCTCAACTTGAACTTTTCTTTAAAAAAAATATTAAAGGAGGGAGGGAGGGAGGATATTGGGCTATTGGGCTATTGGAAGGAATCACCACCAATATTTCCACATGATGGAACTTTCTCCATTCATGAAGGTAAATGAGTAAGACAAGAAATTCTTCTCCCATAAGAAGGACGGTTCTAGAAGCTTTCTAGCTTGAGGTGCATATCATGTGAGTTTGGACTAATTATCATGTGAGTTTGGACTAATTATATTGATGAATAGGAAAGCAATCACTTCTGGCAACGTTGACCAAATTGGGTGTCCCTTGACAGCCTTCCAGTGAACCTTAGCAACACAACACACTGAATGAGATCAGCGTTCCTTGAAAAGTTAAACCTCTGGGAACCTTCTGAGGAGGACTTCAGAGCTCACCAAACGGTGTTTAGATAATTATATTTTCAACAGAGTACAGGGACGTTGAAAGAAGTTTGAAATCTGTTATTAGGAGAAGGTAGCTTTACTCGTCAACTAGATGGAGCCACGTTGTTAATGAGAGGTTTCACAAGGGAGAAGCAAGAACAAAATGGGGATTTGAGACTCTGAACAACGAAACTCTCCTCAGTGGGTTTTTCTTTGAACCTATTTCTTGCTCCAGTATGTGAAGATTGGAGTCTTGAATGATGTTGAAACAAAGGTGGCCTGATGAAAAGCTTGACCAGTGTGGTCTCTACCCCAGCCCTATACCTGACAGACTTAACTCAAGTGGTTTCTGAATATCATAAGTGCATCACCCATGAGGGAAACCGAAAAAGAATGGTAACTCCTGTTTACTTCCATGGAGAAGGGAACAAGGTGTTTCAGAAAAGAGCATAGAACCGATGTATAGGTGTGACACAGTCTTGCTGGGTCCATTTATACAGTTTCATTTGGCAGTTTAGGAGTGTAGAGCGGTTAGGAGCCAAGTTTGTATCCTCGAGGTGACTATCGGCCTCCTCCTTCTTGCTTTCTAGTATTTGACTAAGTAATGGGAGGAGGATTACAGTGCACCTGGTGCTACTATTACTTTCTTGGTGAGTCAGATTCTTGATTCAGATTCAGATTTTCAACAGTTCCTCGGTTGTGTCATTCTCCAGTTATGTTGATGAAAGACAAGAAAATCCTGAAATCTCTGTGGTCTCCGTACAAACTGCCATCCTCCTGAGCTGGCCTTATATGGAGTCAGACGACTGATCAATCTAGCTGAGTTGTTGTAGATTTTCCGGGCTGTCTGTCTGTGGTCTTGGCATTGTGCCAGCAGCTGTGACTGGCGTCCTCAGAGGTACAACACAGAAAGATGGAGTACTCTCTGTGTTCTAGCTGAGAACTCTGAATGTTAGCAGCTGTCGGGCAGAGAAAGGTCTTTCTTAGCACCTGCTACCAGAGGGATCCATGTTTCAGCTGGAGATTGAACCTGGGACCTTCTGAATGCAGAAGAGCCAGTTTGGTGTAGTGGTTAAGAGCGGTGGACTCTAATCTGGAGAACCGGGTTTGAGTCCCCACTCTTTCATACACAGCTAGCTGGGTGATCTGGGTAGAGTTGCCAAGTTGTATTTACCTTTTAGCATGGGGAATCCTGTACCTCCCCGGGAGTCCCCGGGAGCGACATCATCGCATCGGGCACATTGGGGGCAGGGCCACAATCATTCGAGGGAAAATCATACAGTTTTCCCTTGAATGATACAGCATCTCCCAGTAACGTGTCTCACACTTTGGGGGCGGGGTCCTCCTGCGGCCGGATCTGGGCTGGCAGGGAACGAGCCTATCGAGTGGGGGTTTCCCTGCGCCCCCAGGGGAAACTAGCAACCCTAGATTTATTTATTTTATTTTTATTTAACCGTAGACTTTATATCCCGCTCGAACCCCCTTTCTCAGGGGGTCTCAGAGCGGCTTACAGGCGGTGCTAGTCACACAATTAATTCCTGACTAGGGCCACAAGGTTTTGTAGGGGCAGGGTTACCTATCAGCACCCTTGTGATGGTTGAGATGTTTCTTGGTCCGGCACTCGGTACTTTGTTCGGCTCGGTCATTCCCGGCGGGCTCCATGATTTGGCGGTAGTTAAGGCACACGATTCGCGTCTTCTTCTGGGCACAGCAACGTCCTTCTGGCTCCGCTGTGCTAGCGTCTGACGTCATCATCATGCGCACCGGCAGCTGCTTGGATGTTCTTCTCTCTCCGGGGTCAGACTCTCTGGGGTCAGATCTGGGGTCAGACACAGCTCCCTCAGAGCTCTCTCAGCCCCACCTATCTCACAGTGTCCCCGGCCTGAGAGAAGTCTGACTGTCCTTGACCAGGGCCACGGCCTTCTCAACCCTGGCCCCTGCCTGGTAGAACGCTGTGCTGGAAGACATCCGTGCCCTGCGGGAGCTGCTACCTTTCCGCAGGGCATGCAAGGCAGAGATGTTCCACTGGACCTTCAGTTGAGGACAGTGATAGGACTTCTTTTGGCACTCCCCTATGCACGGACTCTAATCTGGGAGAACCGGGTTTGATTCCCCACTCCTTCAGTTGCACCTGCTGGATGACCTTGGGCAAGCTGTAGTTCTGTCAGAGCTGTTCTTGAAAAAGAGCAGTTCCTGTCAACATAAGAACATAAGAACATAAGAGAAGCCAATGTTGGATCAGGCCAGTGGCCCATCCAGTCCAACACTCTGTCACACAGTGGCCAAAAATACATACCCGGTGCCATCAGGAGGTCCAGCAGTGGGGCCAGGACACTAGAAACCCTCCCACTGTTGCCCCCCCAAGCACCAAGAAGACAGAGCATCACTTGCCCCAGAGCCCCTACCTATACCTTGTGGCAAATAGCCACTGATGAACCTCTGCTCCAGATGCCTATCTAATTCCCTTTTGAAGCCGTCCATGCTTGTAGCCGCCACCACATCATGTGCCAGTCAAGAGCTCTCTCAGCCCCACCCACCTCGCAGGGTGTCTGTTGTGGGGAGAGGAAGGGAAAGGATTTTGTAAGCCGCTCTGAGACTCCGAGTGAAGGGCGGGGTATAAATCCAATCTCTTCTTCTTCAGGCTGGCTGACACTATCAGCAAAACCCAGAATTGTGGGAGATTAGAAATTAACTTCTTAGCTTTGGAAACTGTCAGGGGTGGATCTACTATGAAACTAATGGAGTTTACGTTTCAGAGCCCCTAATCCTGGAGTGGCCCTGAAGCAACTTTAAAAAAAAAATGAGTTTCAACAAAATTGATGGAGCTTTAAAAAGTATTTTAAAACAGCCAGTTTGGTATAATGGTGAAGTGCGCAGACTCTAATCTGGGAGAACCGAGTTTGATTCCCCCAATCCTCCACTTGCACCTGGCTGGATGACCTTGGGCAATCCGTAGTTCTGATAAACTGTAGTACTGAAAAAGAGCAGTTCCTGTCAGAGCTCTCTCAGCCCCACCTACCTCACAGGGTGCCTGTTGTGGGGAGGGGAAGGGAAAGGAGTTTGTAAGCCGCTCTGAGACTCCTTTGGGTAGTGAAGGGCGGGGTATAAATCCAATCTCCTCATCATCATCATCCTCCTTCTTCTTCTATAATCCCCCATCCCTGATAACCCCTCCCCCCAGGGGAGACTAGGGAGTTAGGATTCCTCTGCCCTCTTATTTATCGTATATGCACTGTTTTTATCTACTAGTATGTATTGGACTGTTTAAGTTGATTTTATATTGTGAATGTACATTATCCTGTTGTAAGCCACCCGGAGCCCTACTTTAGGGAAGGGCAGCCTCATAAATCAAGTTTAATAAATAAATAAATTGTGAGGCGAGGAAGAAAAGGCGATTGTAAGCCACTCCGAGTCAAGGGCGGAGTCCAAATCCAACTCTTCTTCTTCTTCTTCTTCTCCTTCTTTTCCTCCTCCTCCTCCTCCTCCTTCTTCTTCTTGGAGGGGGGGAATCAGACCACACCACCAAAGAGAACCTCAGAGGAGCCACTCTGGAACAACAAACACACATTTATTTATTTATTCATTCATTCATTTATTAATTTATTTAGTTATTTAGACTTATATCTCACCCTCCCCACATTGTAGGCTCAGGGCGGCTACCAAGATATATATCTGCAATGAATGCAGATTTACACATTAAAACACATTATCATAATTCATTCGCTTCAATAAAACCATCAGCGTAAAATCAATAAAATCACCAGCAGCATTTAAAACAGCAACACGCCTCAAGCGACGATAGTGTGGTCCCAATCTGACTTCTAGGATCTGCGGTCGCTGGAGGGGAGGGCCAAATCAAAGTGGATGCCCACTGGCTCAACTAAAGGCCTGGCAGAAGAGCTCCGTCTCACAGGCCCTGCAGAAGTGTAACAGGTCCTGCAGGGCCCTGATCTCATAAGGCAGCTCATTCCACCAGGCACAAGCCAGGATTGAAAAGGACCTGCTCCTAGTTGAGGCAAGCTGGACATTCCTAGGGCCAGGGAATATTCTACAGGGCTCATATGGGGAGAGGTGGCCTCGAAGATATGCAGGCCCCTGGCTCTATAGGGCTTTAAAAGTAAGCACCAGCACCTTGAAACCAACACTTTTAAACGGCCAATCCTCAGCAGCACAATTTAAGGTGGTGGTAGAAGAAGAAGATATTGGATTTATACCCCGCCCTTCACTTCGAGTCTCAGAGAGGCTTACAAACTCCTTTCCCTTCCCCTCCCCACAACAGTGAGGTGGGTGGGGCTGAGAGAGCTCTTGACAGAAACTGCTCTTTTTCAAGGACAGCTGTGCCAGAGCTTGGGACTGACCCAAGGTCCCATCAGCAGGTGCAAGTGGAGGAGTGGGGAATCAAACCCGGTTCTCCCAGATTAGAGTCTGCACACTTAACCACTACACCAAACTGCCACTCACAAGTTCTTAAGGCTTCATGCCTGTACCACTGGGCCCTGATGTGGGGTTGATCACCATTCACCTGGGCCAGAGGTTTCGTTGCATGAGGTTGCCAGAGGTGGGAAGGAGGAAAAGCTGAAGATGGGGGGAAGGGCAGATCAAGGTAGGTTGGCTCCTGGGTGGGAAGGAAGCAGAAAAGAGAGAAGAAGAGGAGATTGGATTTATATCCCACCCTTCACTACCCAAGGGAATCTCAGAGTGGCTTACAAACTCCTTTCCCTTCCCTGTGAGGGAGGTGGGGCTGAGAGAGCTCTGACAGAAACTGCTGTTTTTCAAGAACAGCTCTTATCAGAACTACGGCTTGCCCAAGGTCATCCAGCAGGTGCACGTGGAGGAGTGGGGAATCAAACCCGGCTCTCCCAGATTAGAGTCCGCGCACTTAACCATGACACCAAACCAAAATAAAGTTCCATCAAGTCACAGCTGACTTATGGTGGCCCGATAGGGTTTTCAAGGCAAGAGCTTTCCAGAGTTCATTGGCCATTGTCTCCCTCTGCACAGCGACCCTGGCCTTCCTTGGTGGTCCCTCATCCAAGTACTAATGGGGGCGAGCCCTGCTTAGCTTCTCCAGAGCTGATGAGATCGGGCTAGCCTTGGACATCCAAGTTAGGGGGACTCAGGACAGAGCAATTTATGCACCACCCACCCAACGTGGTTTATCTCCAGATGATGAAGAAAGATCAACTGGGATCTTCCTGATTTCTTAGATACTCAGAGGCATAAATAGTGTTGGGGTGGACATCCTGAAGCAGAGATTCTGGGGATCCAGAGGAAAATAATTCTTAGCTGATGCTCAGATAAGAGTGCTGCGGGTGATGTGCAGTCCACTTGAGTGCCACAAATGCCATGGCCACATGGTGTCATGCAGCAATGGAGACTAAGAAATTCTTTGGGTGACAGATGAGACTCGTGTGGTTTCACTGGTCCCAGAGCACATCTGAGCTCTATAGACTATGGCCCCGGTCACACGGACCGGATATCGCAGGGGGGAGGCGTAGCTGTTTGCCCGGGAGCGAACTACTGCGCGGCAGCCGGATCAAACGTCCCACTCGATATCCCACTGACGTCCCGTGGTTGGGGGGAGGTGCCGATCATACCTCACTCCTGCAGCACGGCAAAGAAGCGGCGCCACGGGGGTTGTGTTGGGTTTTTTTAACCCAAGTGTTCGCATGCGCCGTTCAGTGCTTGTGCACACCCGTGGACACTTGACAAAAAAAAACCTTTTCGCGATGGGACATGGGCGGGCGCCGGATGCCACGAGCTAACACCGGAAACGTGATCTGACGCCCGCCCTTGCTCTGTGGTTTCCGGAAACTAGTACCTCGGAGGTACTAGTTTTTCACAGCGCATCTTCGGAGTGAAGCCTCGGGTGAGCCACAGGAGCTCTAAGCTTCCCAGATGTGGCGGTGAGATCGCGTCCGGAACATCCGCCTATCTTCCATCTCTCTAGTGTGCCTAATGCTCCATGTGAGTATTTGTAGTTTATTTTTAGTGGGAAGGGTCAAGATGCTAATTGTGCCAGGGAATGAACTTCTAGCGGTTCTCAAATTTTCCCTATCAATTTTCAAGATTTTTGACCTGTGTATGGTACTCCCAGTAGTAATGTATGGTGCTGGAGAAGACTCTTGAGTGTCCCTTGGACTGCAAGGAGATCAGATCAGTCAATCCTAAAGGAAATCAACCCTGACTGTTCCCTGGAAGGCCAGGTACTGAAGCTGAAGCTCAAAGACTTTGGCCACCCAATGAGAAGGGAGCACTCACTGGAGAAGACCCTGATGCTGGGAAAGACTGAAGGTCAAAGAAGACGGAGACGGCAAAGGATGAGATGGGTAGGCAGCATTTGACAGGAAGGTGTGGCCCTCAGTTTGCAGGACCTGAGCGAGGCTGTTAACAAGAGGACATTTTGGAGGTCATTAATTCATGGTGTTGCCATAAGTCGAAAACAACTTGATGGCACTTTAACACACATGCTTAAACACCCACTTATTTGCAATTCATATTAAGTTCTAGATGACAGTTTCCAGTGGCAGATATACCTTTCTGGGACCCTGAAAAGATTGAACCTTCTCAACCTTCTCAACCAGCAACAATAGAGAAACATCCAATAAGGTCCAAAGGGCCTTGTGGCCTTTTCAAGGACCTCAAGGCTCAAATGGCGGAGAATGGGGTGGTGGGGTGGAGCTAGGGTTGCCAAACCCCCCGGTTTGCAAGAGGTCCCCTGTTGGGGGGGGTTCTACCCGCCCCCAACACCCACA